TCCCCGCATGCATCAAAAATCTCTTCAACAGATCCATCGGGATAACCTATGTAGATTCCGTAACCTGCTTTAATGGTAGCTTTAAATGCTGATCCATCAGTATAGACATGTATCCATTCTTGGGGGTAAGAATCAACGGTCTTTAGTGATGAGTTCATAAGAGCGATTGGGTCGGACTGTTTGGTTTCCTCGCCTACCAATTTAGTTTGGACTTCTGGAGCTTTAAAGCGAGCATGTGGTGGTAGGTTTCTTGCAACATTCTGAATTCCTTGACGTCTTTCTGGGAGGTGGTATCTGTCCTGAATTTCATTAACACAGTGTAAAACCGATTTGTGCTTTATTCTTTGTTGTGCTAGTGAGAAGAGGAACTTCATTCCCAAGAGCCATCTCAAAAGACATATGTGGTCCTGAAATCCATTCTTGGCGATTCTTTATAATGTGAGCAGGTCTTGCTAGTCATATCCCCCACCCCATGGATTGTGATATCAATGCCTCCTTTTCACACAATGGAGCATTATCGTCTGGAAAGATGAAAAAGTGCAAAGAACGTAAAGAGGTCCATTCCCCCCCCCCCCCCCCCCCCGCCCCTCCCCAGTCCTAACATTCCCACAAAGCTGTGACATATCAGCAGGTATTTATTAAGTTCCAACCCCACGTTCTTGTGAGAGAAGAAAACAGGACAAAGTAGGAGACTGCTAGGATTGGGTGATGTATGGCGTGACCTTGTGTGACGGGACTGTTACTGTAGCCATGAAGGCCATCCTAGGTCACCTAGAAACGGTCTTGCCAACAGAGCTCTGATAAAGTTGCGACAGGCCTAGTAATACTGCAGTGGATTCACTGTCGCTGCTGAAATTACGAGATTTAAACGGACCAATTCAATGACATTTGACTATGTTACTGTTAAAGTCTTCTTCTTAGTGTTAACCAGCTGTAAACTTCGACAGAAAGTTCTTGTTCTGAAATATTCAAGTACTCAAGACTAAGGGAAATCCTGTAACTTTACCCAGAGTCATTCTCTCCCTTCACATGTCAGGTTAAATCCATAGTTGCGTATCCTTTACAGGACGTTGCAGAACCAACCCCAGTATTTTTTGGCTGTTGTGGTTTTTCTAGGCAAGTTTACGTCCAGTAGTTTGCCACTGCTTTCTGCACAGTCGGCTTCTCAATACCACTGTCGAAACCAACGCAAAACGCAAGGCCTGCAGCTGGGATTGAACCCTGTACCCCGGCATTTTGAAGCGTGTTCGCAAGGCCTAAGCCACAGACTAAATCTATAGAGATGTCCAAATTTAGTTCTATTTTTTCTCAATAAGACAATATCTATGTTTAACTGTATCACTATTTGGCATCACTACCCTGAAACTTCACCGGCCAGCCAAGACAATTGTTAAAGTTCAATCCTCAACTGGGGCAGGATGATTTTTCTATGGACAGCACCACTGAGGCAGTTGATCCAGTTTCAAAAAAATGTGTTACTTAGCATCCTTAAGATTGTTTTTCCCGGGGATATAGGTGTGTTTGGAAATGTTGAGGCAAACAGATTAGCTGCTGCTGTACCAATGGGTGGTGGCTTGACGCATGGCAAGCTAGATGTGGTCGTCACAGCCCTTTGGGAGCAATATGGAAGCATGAACATATCATTATAGCATGGAGAGAATATGTCAGAGGGGAGCGACATGGGTATATGACTGATACTGTACACACAAAAGATTGCTACTCGTTCCATCAGAACTGGAACTCTTTGCTGTCTGCTGAAGATGAGGACGGAGAGTGTGAACAAGAGGGGGGGGGGGGGAACTAGAGAAGGCAGTGTGATTTGAATTTGTGTATTAATTTCTGATTTAAGATTTTGGTGTTTATGATTTGTGCTTCATTGAATGATTATACGGTGATGTAACTCTGTAGTAATTAGTTTGACAATATACGATGAAATATCCCAGACAATAATTTAAATTCTAAAAATGCGCTACGAGAAGTTTTGGGCTCTCCTCTGAACTTCTACCTGATATTATGGCAGCCATAAAATATCCTTACGGGGCTCAGGCATATGTAAAATGCGGATTTTCTGCCAAAGAACAAATTGCGGCAAAATTAGGATTACTTGACAATTTAAAGAGACGCAACATTGCAGACGATAGTAGCAGACGATAATAGCGACCGTTGACAATTTCAAGCGTTTCTGCAGACAATATTAGCAGACGTTCTTGTCCTCACACTTTTCGGCATGCGCAAAACGCGATTAAGCTCCCCGCCGAGTGTATCCCCCGCGCAGCTACGCGCGGCATGGATGGGGATCTAAACTAGATGCCTGGGACTCGCGAGCAAATAAACTGGAGGAAGTTGTAGGACATGCGGTAGCTGCTGTTCGTGAGTCCCAGCCATCTAATTTAGCCCCCATCTGCGCCGCGCGTAGCGCCGCGCGTAGCGGCGCGGGGTATACTGTCGGCGGTGAGGCATAGTCACAGAAACAGGTCCGCAATTAACATATCACTGAGACCCTGTTAGAGCATTTGTTTCGTTATACGGAGCCGGCATATTTTTAATATGACTGAACCCCGTAAGGAAAGGATATTTTATGGCCGCTATAATATCGGGTAGAAGTTCGTAGGAGAGCCAAGTTTTGAATTTACTGACATGTCACACTTGCAGAAGATTAATTCATTGCAAGACAGTTAAGACGGAAGTTGTTTTTTTGTTTTTGTTTGTTACAAAAGTTTTCTGACCGATGTTGTACTGCGCTACGTATTGGCCGTAGATAATTCCCTAATTCATGCAAACATTTCATTATAACACACAAACCAACCCAAGCGCTGTGTCTTTCCTCCAACAGTGTCAGTTCATTTTCGTCGTCCCTGGGCTTATCCACATTAAACCACAACGAATCGTCGACTTTAGGCAACAGTGACGGAAAATAGGGATTCGACATTGTTAATAATGTCTTTAAACAGATTCGTTAAATATTAATCTGTGTTTCCTTTTAATCTTTGAACATAAAGTAACATCGGCGACCGTCAACAGAAAAACAAATGTATACAGAGGTTTTCTGTAGAGTTGTCTCCCGTAAACCGAATTAAAAGTGTGTCAGTAATTCACGAAACAATACTTTTTAGTTTAGGAAAGCAGAGCACTCGAGATATTTCCAGAAACTCCCCGTCCACATCTTTATCAACTTAGCACAGCGTTCCAATTCCGACAGTAATTGTAGTCTGAGTTTATGCTCCTCAGATCCCTTGCCACTCCCAGCTGCACCATACTTTAGAGATCATGATAATGTATATGTGTCACTGTCCTGTTCACTTGCTCCCAAAAGACCTTGGAAACATCAAGCCAACATGCATCAATTTGTTGCTGCCCAATTGTTGATGCGAATTTTACTAAATCATCTGTTGCGTACATGTGTGTGTGTGCGCGCGCGCGTGCGTGTACATGCATGTTATAATACTGTTCAGTTCAGAACAACATCCTCTACAAAATCGAAATCTTCTGATTGTGTGTTTTTCACATAGTCAATGCCGTTCCACCACATTTTAACCGCATCACCTATTCAGTAGCTATTCCAAGTAACATCATGTGCAAATATATACTTAGTTACGTCCTTTTTAGGACGTAATTTTTTGTTATTAGAAGCCCCACTCTGGCTTTTGCCAGGGGCCGCAATATAGGCAGGCCATAAAAATGGCCAAATGTCTGAACGCGGTTTCTGGGACCTCTCCACGGCGATCCTCATCCACATGGTGGCACGTTGTGTCATCGGGTGTTTATCGCTTGTGTGATGTCCTAGTGGGGTAGAAAGTCACTCACTCACACACTCATGTAGCAGGTCCTTTGCAGAACGTCGCTTTCATCACGGTCTGCCTGAAAGAAACTGGGTCTCTCGCCAGCTCTCCCGCCTCATGCACTTTCATACTCAATAAGTCACTTATATCATGTGCCCATCTTCGTGTCGGTCGGCCCCTGCCCCTCCTTCCTGGTACCATGCTTTGTGCTATAATTTTTTCCAATCTGTCGTAGCGCTTGATATGGCCAGAATATTTCAGCTTTACAGACAGGATGCTGTTTATTAGCCAATCTTCCTTCATGTTCAGATCTTTCAAGATGTCAGTATTTCTCTCCTTTTTCGCTCAAGATATTCTGAGAATCTTTATTTCAAGTAACAGGGGAGATAAAAGACAATCCTATTTCCCTCCAGTTTCAACTGCAAACTAATCACCCAATCCACCATCCGTTCGCCCTGCACACCCTGAACCCTCATACGCTAACTACCCAGGACCTCTGAAGCGATGCTTGCTACTCTGCAGGAAGCTTACTATAATACGTCTCTCCCCCCCCCCCCTTTTTTTAAAACATGCTTTGTGAGTATATTAGAATGACGACACAGGGAGCAGGAACTTGGGATCTCAGTCCCTCTGTAAGTTTGGAGGGCGGGTCCCCTGAACTCGGTTTCTGGGACCTCTCCACGGTTGATCCTCATCCACATGGTGGGCCACGAAACAATTTCCACTGTTTCGGTGGGTCGCGAGTTTGCACAGGTTGAGGAACACTGATCTAGTAAGCAGCAAACGGCGAATTGTTGAAAACTGTGTTCATAATTCACGCACGAAACAATACATTTTAGTTATAAGTTAACCAAACTATGGATCATTGTTTTGTGGTGGACACGAAAAGCAGCACATTGGGATAGCATAAGTACATTATTATGGGAATAATAAGCTAGAACCTCTGTATCTTTCTACCCATATCTTTGTCATGTACTATTAAGCATGAGTTTATTTATGCAGTGCTAATGTTATAGAAATGTTACTAACTAAAATTAATAAGTCCAAATGGCGGTAGGCCCAATTAATAGCAGACGAGCTGTAGAATAAAACTTTTTAGAAAGTAAGACAGGATTCCGAGAAGATAAAGATGACCTTTACTAGACTTTGAGGAATATTTTGTTTAACTGTAATTCGAAACTTGAGAGAGTTATTATTTTTAGTCTGTGCATAGATTTGGAAATGGCAGATGAAGCAAAACCTAGGAGCCTGTTCCAGTTGAATTTTCCTGTGATGGGGAAAATTGTTTGTGGCCTTCCGCTGTTTGCCACCTTTTTCTGTGTTGTTTGGTCGCTTATGTTTGATTTCCACGCCTCCACTGCAACACACTGTAAGGTAAGTAATCATAGATATATTTACAATGACTATTACAATAATACTTAAAAGTACTGGGGTAACCAGTACCCGGAAGGAGAGGCAGGGGCCGACCATCACGAAGATGGGCACAGGATTTAAGTGACTCCTTGAGTATGAAAGTACACGAGGCATGAGAGCTGGCGAGAGACCAAGTTTCTTTTAGGAAGACCGTGATGAGAGCGACGTTCTGCAAAGGACCTGCTACATGATGATGATGACTGTGTTACCCTGATTACAGCAGACAAAACATGTATTAAAGAAGGTAGATAAAGAATAGCTCAAGCAAACGCAGCATTTAACAAAATGAAGTATTTTCTATGCAAGCTTTCTTTGTCACTTGAGGTGAGAAAGAGAATTCTTAAGAGCTATATAAATCCTATCAAGATATACGGAAGTGAATCATGGACAGTTAGACAATTAGTGAAAAATTATGTGAAAATAGCAGAGATGTGGTTTTTTAGGCGAATGATGACAGCAGCCTGGGTAAATAACAAAAAATAAAAAGTGCTATCCTCAGAATAACGATCCAAAATTATCAAGGCTAAGAAAATACCCTAACATGGCCTCAATGTTTGTGGTTGTGCCGCCAGGAAACTGCGCTAAATATTCAGTAAATAATGCGCGACTAGTGCCGCTGTAGTAACGTCACATCTGCCTAAGTTCCATCCATAACCCTTCAATTGACAGTGTCGCAGTTCCACTCTTGTGACAGATTCTTAATTGCAGTACTCCTGGCCCTAATCCTAGCCTAAACCTAGGACCCAGGGGAGAAGCTAAACCTAGGACCCAGGGGAGAAGCTAAACCTAGGACCCAGGGGAGAAGCTAAACCTAGGACCCAGGGGAGAAGCTAAACCTAGGACCCAGGGGAGAAGCTAAAGCTAGGACCCAGGGGAGAAGTTAAACCTAGGACCCAGGGGAGAAGTTAAACCTAGGACCCAGGGGAGAAGCTAAACCTAGGACCCAGGGGAGAAGTTAAACCTAGGACCCAGGGGAGAAGTTAAACCTAGGACCCAGGGGAGAAGCTAAACCTAGGACCCAGGGGAGAAGTTAAACCTAGGACCCAGGGGAGAAGTTAAACCTAGGACCCAGGGGAGAAGTTAAAGCTAGGACCCAGGGGAGAAGCTAAACCTAGGACCCAGGGGAGAAGCTAAACCTAGGACCAAGGGGAGAAGTTAAACCTAGGACCTAGGGGAGAAGTTAAACCTAGGACTCAGGATTAGTGTTTCCCGCTGTATGGGGTATATTTGCCGGAAAGAAGTCCGCAATTTACATATGGTTGAGGCCCTGTTAGGGTATTTTCTTAGCTTTGATAATTTGGGACCGTTATTAAAAGGATAGCCAAAAAATTTAATAAAGATGTCTTGAAACAAACTGACTAGCACTCTACAAAGTGTAAATGACACAGTTATATTACTGTTCTAAATCAGGCTGCCATAATAAATCTCAACTCTTTCATTTCAGTCATATTAATTTTGTTACTTTAACCACTTCTGTGTCAGGGAGTTGAGTGTAAAACAACATGTACTTATATCTGAATGAGTTTGACAGAGATACAATGGGATAGAAGTAGTTAAACTAATAATTAATTCAGATTCAAAGATTTAACATATCTACTGTCTATGATGCCCGACAAGAACATCATGTTATTTTTGTCCCATGTGGGTTGCCTCCTGATAAAGGGGGTACAATTAATTGATCCACTGACCCCCTCCCCCCCCCAATAAGTATGTCGTAAAAGTTGACTAATTAGAGGGGTTCCCTTCGAGGTAAAAACGCATTTGCCTGAGAGGGAGGAGCCAACAGTCTGCATACAAATAAGAGAGATCTGTAAAACTGACATGGATGCAAAACTCAAGTTTTGGAACAAGATTAAACTCCCACCAAAGTGGACGAAGAACTGGAAATTTCCACTGAAGTTTACAACTGGTGAATGCAGAGAAGAAGAGTCACTGGGTGTCAGTCTTTTTAAGCTGCAGTCCTGGTGGACAGTCAGTCATCAAACAGCATATCCCTTACAGAATGTCACTCTCTTCACGGTATGCCTGAAAGTATCCCTTTCCCCAGCTAGCTCTCCAGCCCCATGTGCTTTCAATGCCAGTGCATCTTCAATGTCCTGTATGGCCAGAATACTTTAAATTTCGGGACAGGATGCTGTTTATCAGCCAGTTCTCCTTGATGTTTACCTCATGTAGAATGTCGATGTATGTCCTCTTCTTGATTCATGGTATTCTGAGAACCCTTCAGAAACATTTTAATTCAAAAGCTCCAGTCTTTTTCTTCAGTGATTGAAATTTGTTTTAAAAACAAATCTATATCAGTAGTATTTTAATGCCCTGATACAAACTGTAAGTAACTATTACATTGTTTTTTTAATAGGTGCGTAACTACCTTCCATCCGTTAGTGCTGCTATTGGAGGGTTCTCCCCTCAGCGGTATGTCTGGCGTATATGCATATGCTTACATGCAACCCCTCGTTTGATGATTGCCATTGCTTACTACAGCTACCACACTTCTGTTCATTTTGGAAGAGACAATGAATTGTACAAAACTGTGGCTGCTCTCGCCAGTCTCTGTAACATTGTAGAGGTCAGCTCATTGGTGGCGCTGACATATATATCGTCCAATGAGAATCATGGTGAGTTTCTATACTGTTATTTTATCACTGTTATAGTTTTTCAGTCTCTGTGTAGAGGTCAGCTCATTGCTGGCACTGACATATATATCGTCCAATGAGAATCATGTTGAGTTTCTATACTGTTATGTAATCACTGTTATAGTTCTTCAGTCTCTGTGTAGAGGTCAGCTCATTGGTGGCGCTGACATATATATCATCCAGTGAGAATCATGGTGAGTATCTATCATCATCATCAGGTGCCTTGATGACTGGTTGGGGGATCATGCCTCTCCACAATCTGCAATCTCCTGCAGCATGTATCAGTTTGTGTGATGACACACCGCCATGCCATGCAACAAGACTGTCAAGAATCTGCTCTAGTTGTTTTCCTCTATCCCTCCTTCCACAGATCTTTCCATATTCCATTTTCCCTTTTCTCATAACATGGCCAAAAAATGATGTTTCCTTCTGATGTCTGTGATAAGTTGTCTTTGGGCTCCCGCCTCTTTCAAAACCTCTTGGCTGCTCTTTTAAGATATTTTAAGCATTCATCTATAAAACCACATCTCTGAGGCCTCAAGAAATGGTTTGACCTGCCTACCGATTGTGAGCATCTATACTGTTACGTTATCACTGTTATAGTTCTTCAGTCCCTCTAGAGATCAGCTCATTGGTGGCACTGAGATATATATCATCCAATGAGAATTATGGTGAATATCTATACTGTTATGTTGTCACTGTTATAGTTCTTCTTGTGTTCTGTTATCTCCTTTTGGCTATGGAGGTGGGATTATGTTTCTGCCTCTAAATCAGGCAGACCTAGTTCATGTTCATGGTATCAACTCTTTAGCTGTTTGCATCTGTCTTAGAGGTGAGAGACCAACAGTCTGCACATAAATAAACCAGATCTGTAAAACAGATGTACATCATATCAAACTATAATGGACATGGAAGTCTACTGTAATAAAAGTGTAATGTGCATGTGAAGCAAAGAACTCATTTTATGTTGATAATCAAAATCCCAGGTCTGCAGTCTGTCTCCTGCTGGCTTCTCAAGGCGCAGTCTGTGATTAGTGAAAGGCTTAACCTGCCGGCTGAGCCAAGCACCCGAGCACCATATATATTGGCTGTCAAGGTTTGGAAGCCTCCTCGGATAGCGGGAATGCTCATGTTCAGCTCCAGCCTTCTCATGAGGGCTGACCGTCATGATGTTGTTGCTCTGCACCGGTGTGATAGGCAGCACTACCCAGGAAACAAAGATGACCACAGAAAAAAATGAGACTGAAATATCCCACGAAACTAGCCGGGAAGGCTAACACAGGCAACACATACTTGCAGAATTAGGATGCAAATATCGCAGCTGTGTTGTAAACAGGCACAATGCAATAATGTCCTTAAATGATTCTTCAAATGAAGAAGAAGAAGAAGAAATGAATGTGCATGTAACAGTCAAAGCCCTAGGTGGTACAAGGTCAAAGTCCAGAAGTGGATAAGTAACCTCGACTGTGCTGAAGTTTGCATCCAGTGAAAGTTAAAAAGAAGAAGTATTTGCAACAACAACCAAATAAATGGATTTTATACCGCTCCCTGATACTGGGATAATGACCCGGATGACTAGCCTTTTCAGACAAGGGCAAATAACTTGGGAGGATCTTTGTACACAGGGTACAGATACACACAGAAGAAGGAATGTACTCATAAACTGCTAAATAGAAAGTGAAAGATAGATGAATGATTCATAGATAAATGAATGAAAAGGAGAGAGAGAGAGGGAGAGAGAGAGAGAGAGAGAGAGTGGGTGAGGTGTGAGAAAGGTGAAAAACAAAGATATCTTTTGCTTTATGTAGACATTGACCTTGGTTCATGTATTTGATTGCAGATCTCCATGAGAACCTGTTTATATCATTCATTGTTGCATCTCTCCTGTATATGATACTGACCATCTACCTCATGCTGAAGAGGCAGGCTTTCAAAGGCGCTCTATTCACAAATGAGGTAAAGTCAAAAAGATGAGGGCAATTCTAATCTAGAGAAAGATCATTGTTTCTCCCTCTGTGTGGGTTCCTGGGCCCCATTCTGGGGAAAACATAAGAATTGGAACTCTTCGTTTGCTGCTGAAGATGAGAATGGAGCACTTATAGGGGTGTCCCGAGTGTTATGATGTTGATTCTTAATTCAACATTCAACATTCTGGGGAAAACAAGAATAGACCCACTGCCTCCCCAGCAAGCATGTCAGAAGAGTCGACTAATTGGGGGCTTTCTTCGAAGTCTGAGAGGCAATGAACTAACAGTCTGCAAACAATTAAGTCAGATCTGATAAACGGAAGTGCACGCAACACTCTGGTTCTGGAACAAGAATAAACTAAAGAGATGGACAAACAACCAGAACTTTCCGCTAGAGTTTACAGCCGATAAACGCGAGAAGAAGACGATAATTGTTTGAAAGTAGCCATCCATGTGTAGGTTCCCGGGGCCCCATTCCCATTTTGGGGGAACATAATCATAGGCCCACTGCCCTGCCAACAAAAGTAAAGTAAAAGTAAAGATCAATTTTCACGCCTTTTGGGAGTATGGGTCCCTGCCAACAAACCTGTCGTAAAAATCATTGACTGACTATGGTTGTTTAGTTCGAAGTCCGATTGCATCTGCCTGAGAGGTGAAGATCCAACAGTCTGCATAAAAAATAAACCAGATTTGTAAAATGGATGTGCATGCAAAACTGACGCTTCTCATCATCATCACGATGGCCTTGCCAGCTGGCGTAGGGGTTCATGTATCTCCACAGATTTTGGTCTTTGGTGTTCTGGATCAATTCCACTGATGATCTTCCTCCATGCCACTGTCTTAAACCATCCAACATCATGTCTGTTGGTCTGCCTCTGCCTTTTCTACCAGTGATCTTTTCAGTAGTCACAATATTTTCCAGTGCTTCTTTTCTCATCACATTTCCACAGAATGTCAAGCTTGGTGTAAAAGGCAATAATTAGGGATTTGCTGAAATCGGATGTTTTGAACCCGAAGGTACAGATATTGCAGCCTTGCTGTTGCCCACAATACCCATATGTTAATCACCCTTTTGAGAGGGAATGCAGAAGAAGAATTCCTTTCAAGGTGTTGATTTTATTTTATCTTCCTGTGTGGGTTCCGGGGCCCCATTGTGAGGCAAACAAGAATAGACCCACTTCCTCCCTAACAAACATGTCATAACAATCAGCTTATGTGGGGCAGGGGTGTTGGTTCTTCAGAATTTGAGTGCAGGCATCTGACATGCAAGAAACCAACAGTCTGCATACAAATAATTCAGATCTGTAAAACAAATGAGCACACAACACTCAGGTTCTGGAACAAGATCAGAGTCCAGATGTGGACTTTGCATGTTTTGGATTTAAACCCCCCCCCCCCCCCCCCCCGCATGTTTTGGATTTCAATCCCCCCCCCCCCCCCCTTTCCCCAACAGGAAACAATTCATTAAATTACAGAGAATTTAAAACTGATTTCTGAATAACAGCCTAGTGCTCTTAACAACTTGACCAGCTGCTCGTCACCCTGCTACTTGCTACATTTTAAATACACAAAATTCAAAGTTTTCTGTCATAATGTTTGTCAGTTATTATTTTTGCTCATTCACTACAGGAATCCAAGTCGCTGAGACTGAAGAAACTGCTATTTACAACAAACGTTGTTGTTTTTCTTCTCTCTGTCTACATCTTTTTTCGACACAACTGGTACTGCGAGCCAGGAGGTATGTAAGATGAAGGTTGATTGTCATGAATCTCCAACACTGTGCCCTGCATGTCACCGTTACATTCATGTAGACGTATTCCAGTAGTTGATGTGTGGGAGATTGGGAGATACAATGTGGGCCATAGTACTGCCATAATTTACTGTTTGTTCACTATATGGTTGGCTTCTTCTTTCCTTTTTCTGTTTTTCCAGTAGTGAAGTCATTTATTAAAACATAAATTATAAATAAGAGTAGTTATAAATATGTGTGTGCCCGCGTGTGTGCACTGTGAGGACACAGTAAGAGAGAGGCAGAGAGAAACAAGAGGCAAGAGAAAGAGGGAGAGAGAGACCAGAAGGAGATAAGAGAAAACAGAGAGAGATGAGAGGCAAGGGAGAGAGGTGACGGAGACAGAAGAAAGGTGAGAGACAAGAGAGAAATGAGATAGAGACCAGAGAGAGCAGAGACAAAAGCGAGAGAAGAGACAAGAGAGAAATAGAAAGTCCAGAAAGACCAATGAGAGAGATGAGAGGCAAGAGAGTGAGGAGGAGACAGACACCAAAAAAGAGAGAGATGAGAGAGAGAGAGGAACAAGAGAGAAAGAGACCCACTATGGTACTGTAGTCATAATTTACTGTTAATTCACCAGCTTATTGTTTAGTTCTCTCTCCATATGCTCTGTATTCCATAGTCAAACCATATGTTATTGAATAGATTAGAAATGAGAGCAGTTATGTGTGTGTGAGAGCGTGAGAGAGAGACCTTGTTTGGTGCCATAGAGGTTTTAATAGTTTTCTTATCAGTAAACATATTTTGTCTCTCTTTTTGAAAAAAAATAATTATGTACTCCTTTTTCTAATAGCAGATATGTGTGTGTGAGAGCGTGAGAAAGAGACCTTGTTTGGTACTATAGAGGTTTTAATAGTTTTCTTATCAGTAAACATATTTTGTCTCTCTTTTTGAAAAAAAAAATAATTATGTACTCCTTATCAGTATTCATGTCACTTTGATTTTCATTTAAAAAAAAAAAAAGAATTTTTGAGTGTGGCTATATAAATTATTGCTGTAGTTTCAATACTTCTGTGAATGTGTACTGTTTCTCTTGTTGTTCTACTGGCATATCACCATATTTCATTTCAGCTTCTCTGTTTTGTGTGTTTAATTATTATTTTTTTTTTTTTTAAATTCAATTTATTAATTTCATTGCATTGGTGTTTTGGGCACTCCCTTTTCGGTCATATTAGCTAATTAAAAAGAGTAATTTTACAGTAGAGGAGGGATACCATATTTAAATAGTAATTTTACACAGCCAAGCAGCCATGATATTCCTCTTCTGTCCCATTCACGGAATCAGATGTAAGATAAATTAAATAAACTAGATGCGAGATAACAGTAGCTAGGTCTGAAAATCCATGAAAGACATAGATAGTGAGAATAAATCAGGCAAATAGTAATGTGGTTTCTCTTAATGGCACCCCACTCCAAGACGTGGAGTCCTACACCTATTAAGCAGTGATGTAGATGATGGGGGAATTGATAGAGATATTAAAATAAGAATACAAAAGGCAAGAGAAGCTTTCATAGCACTAGGGAATGTGTGGAGGTAAAAAAAAAAAATTAAAAGAAACACTAAACTTGAAATGTTTAATTCTTATGTCAGATCAGTACTTTTGTATGGGGCGGAAACATGGAGAACAACTATTGCAATTACTAATTAATTACAGACATTTATTCTGCCTATGCAGAATAGAGGGAACTAAATGGTATAAAAGAATAACTAATGTAGAGCTTTGGGAGAGAACTAAGCAAGCTCCAAGAGGTGAGGAAAATACGCTGGCATTGGAGAAGACACACATTGAGAAAACCGGAGAACAGCATAACTGTAATATCTTTGCATTGGAACCCACGGGGGTATAGGAATAAAGGGAGGCAAAAAACACAAGGAGAAGAGAGCTGGAGAATGAGGTTAGAAAGATAAGGGAGGACATGGGGAGAGCTCCATGCAATAGCGAAGGATAGAACGACTTGGCATGAGTTGGTTGAGGGCCGACGGTCCGTTGGGGGAAAGAAAGGCAGAAGAAAAAGAAGCAGCCATCCACATAAAAAAAGTAAGTGAGTGACATTCAACCTTTATCAAGACTGCACATGAACACCTGATGATACAAAGTGCCACCATTGGGATGAGAATCCCCCATGCACAAGTCCCAGAAACCCTGTTCGAACATAAAATTATATTAGAGCTTCAAAATAACATAAAACTGCATCCCATATTGAGACGGAATTCTAGTGAATAAAAAGCTAAAGCAGCCAAACTTTTTGAATGCATATCCAAAGTTTTTGCCTCTGTATTTTCAGTTATATTGCTGTTTTAGTCACTAAAATTCTCTTCTCCCACCTCTTCAGTGTATACAGCATTTGCTGCATGTGAATATGTAGTGATTGTGAGCAACGTACTCTTTCATGGCACCGCTGTTATTGATTTTGCCCCGTATACCCTGGCTTATGTCCGCACCGACCTCATCACAGGCTTCGAGCTAAAAGCTGACTAGATGTGGGTACCTTGTGTGTACAGTCCGTGTTGCTTCACTTCTTAACACTGTTGGGCTTCTTACAATGTAGCATAGTGGTTAGTTTGTAAAAAATAAGGACAGTTACAGTCAAGCAGATAGGAATAATTAGTTTGAAGTTTGAGATTTGAACAAGGGATCAACATCATGGTAGTAACCCATAAGTGCTCCGTTCTTCTTCTAACTCAAGTCTTGAGTCCGAAGAAGCTCAGCACAGTGCACAGGCTCTGTAGCACAAGCGAGGATCCTGACATACTTTAGGTAGATTTTTAACTCTAAATTTTACCCAGGCAGCGCCGTTAGGCTACTATTTTCAATTTCCAACTGCCAAGGGATTTTTTACGTGCGCAGCAATGCAAGGGGAGAATTACTAGAAGTCGAAGTCCACATGAAAAAATCCCAGCCCTTACTGGGGATTGAACCCCGAACCTCTAGCACTTGAGGCGGACACCATGCCCCGAGACCACACAGCCCCCAGCAAGAATTAGTGACCTGTGTTTGTTGTGTTGCCTATTGAGCTTTTTACTCACAATTTGTGTTGTAGTGATTTTTTGTTTTTATTTGATAAATTTTCTGTAAACAGTGTATTAAATATGAACAGTGTCAAGGGGAGTTCAAGAACTTCTTCACCCATTGGGATGGTGGTTTTTAACCTTTTTCAGGTGGTGCCCCCTTGAATATATGGTGACCGTTCCCCTTCCCCACACTAAAAAAAATTTGCACTATTAACAAGAACTTGGGGGGGGGGGGGGGGGGGGCGAACCTCCACACAAATCAGAACGACAAAATAACATAACATCCTCGACTGTTTATTTTACATATAGTTTTTGAAAATCAAAGCAATGTTTTTCCATTGTGAATTTGAACAAAGAAGACACAAACAGTAGATTGCACAATTTATTGCCTGGCATATTTCACTGTATCTTGTCAGGTGCATACTATACAGTAAGACTTACATATAAAGGATTTACTTCTCTGCCTCATTTATGTAATTGTTACTTTATTTAAAAAAAGTTGTATTTATAATTAGACAGGAACAAAAAATTTTAGTGTCACTGATTTGTCTTCTTTTGTCGATATCTGCTTATGCCGCTCAGCATCACAGTTCATCAGACGATCGGCTGCTGAGCCAGGGTGCGCTCAGTCGCTTGATATGCTGTGATTTTATGCAGTCTCAAGGTACCAGTTACTCCTTCAGTCCATCTTCTCGGTCTTCCCCTGCCTCTTGGTTTTTTTCTATTTTCAGGTTGTACGCTCTTGCTGCTGTGCTGGCATCGTTGGTCTCATTCTCATTAGATGGCCAAACCATTTCATTCTTTGTTTCTCAGTAAATTTGACGATGGATGTTGTTCCAACAGTTTTTGTGATTACGTCGTTTCTCACTTGATCTCTTCTGGTTTTATTCACAGCAGTTCTTAAACATCTCATCTCACAGGTGGTTAGTTTTCTTTCGTGTTCTTTAGCCAGCATCCAAGTCTGACACTGGTAATCTAAATAGGTATATTGTATTTATAATTTGTCTTTTTATCTATATTGGGATAGCAGGGTGTTTTAAAATTGGATCAAGTTCATATGTGACATTGTTGGCTTGTTGGATTCTCGTTTCTATCTCTCTGTCTATTCTACCATTGTGTGTAAAGATGCTTCTCAAGTATTTAAATTCTTGCGCTTGTTTTAGACTTTGATCTTTATATCGATGGTTTGTTGCTCTCTACTTATTATTAAAGTTAGTTGCGTATCCTTTACAGGACGTTGCAGAACCAACCCCAACAACAGCCCCTGGCTGTTGTGTGGTTTTTCTAGGCAAATTTACGTCCAGTAGTTTGCCATCTACTTATTATTACAAGTACAAATAAACACAATTTCAGAATTACTTGACACCTCCCATAAAACATCATCCCTCTCCCCACCGGGTGAAAACCACAGCACTAGGAAATTGCATGTGCTACAGGTTCAGCCAGACCATCGGCAGGTTACTTGAGGCAGATCAGGTTCAGAAAGATGATTGACAGTAGGCTGAGGACATAATATGGTACCAATGCCACATGGTGTGGTCTATGGGACAAATAAGAAGAAATAATTGAATCCTGTATTTTTGTCCAGTTACCCTAAATTGGCATGTTGTATTGTGGTTTACAGCTTGGTTTCAATCTGCGCTTTTTGGCCCAACACTTCCAGTTTAAGCAAATTCTTAATCAGTAGGACAGTGATTCCCAAACTGTGTGCCCTGGGGAGCTGCGACCTCTTCACAGGGGCACCGCAAAATAATGTGAAACTTCATAATTAATTTAACCAAGACACAAAGAGTCATACTTTTACTTAGGTTAGGGTGGCGTGGAAATATTTAATTGAAAAAAAGCGCTCTGACCAAGAATGGTTTGGGAAACACTGAGTTACGATATGATTGTTAAATGAACAGCGGATCTTCTCCATCGCCCCCCCCCCCCCCCCCCCCTGCCTTTCCCCCATGCCCAAAGATGGGGTCCTGGAACCCACACAGGGAGAAATAACCTTGAACTTTCTTTTGTTTTTCAGCTTACACATTGTTCGCTGGCTGTGAGTATGCAGTGGTGGTTACCAACATCTTCTTCCATTATACAGCAGTCCTGGACTTCGGACCCTGCAAACTATATTTGCTCAACCGGGTTGGGAAATCAGACCTTTCATACAATTTATTTGGCAAAAGCTCTTTGCCAAGATGACAAATTTGAACCTCATTATATGTGTGTTGTGTTAGATTCTGCATATTTGCACAAGAATTGTGTACATTTGTTTATTAGTGTTTCAAACCTGCTCTATTTCCACACTTTACAATCTCAAAACGAACATTTGTTTGTTGATAATTATCTAATCAGAACAGTGTTTCCCGCGTTCTAAATTTAAATAAAGAAGACAATCAGTAGATTGCGTAATTTATTGCCTGGCATATGTGGCTCATCAGGTGCAAGTAACAGTAACAGTAACAGGTGTAACCCATAAGTATTCCATTCTTCTTCTAACTCAAGCCTGAGTCTGAAGAATCGCAGTGCACGGACTCTGTTGCATCGGCGAATAACAGCTGAATAAAATGAAACAAATAAACCTATTTCTTTGTTCATCCTTAAAAGGGTAGTAGGGTTGTTGTTGTGGGCCTTTTGGCTGACCTGATTCCAGCAGAACCCTAATTAGTTGCTTTGATGACACGCTTGTTAGAAGGTGGGGGGGGTCGGTAGATGGGAACTAGCGCCATTGCACATGGTATAAGTGTTCTGCCACTAAGAATGCGACTCTGGAACCCATGCAGATAAAAAGGAAATAAATGAATCCCTCAAACCAGTGTTTCTCAACCATTATTACACCCGTGGCCCGCCAGAAACATAGGAAATGGATTCACTGCCCACCTGACCAAACCCAGACACAAAACTGAATGTAGATAGCATTTTATTTGTTATTTCCAGTGTTAAAAAAATTAAAACTTGTAACAAATGCAATATTTGCTGCTGATTGTGGGTTAGAATATTCCTCCCAAATAAACTGCTAAGCGGTTGAAGGAAGCTTCCAGAATTTCTACCTGAATGATTCTCATCCTTGAGTTGTTGATCCTGCAGACTCAATCCTGGAATAATTTGATTGGATTCAAGAACTGACTTCACAGCATTCAGGGTATTTCCATAAACGCTCCGTCCCCATCTTCAGCAGCTAGCAAAGAGTTCCGATACTAATGGTGCCAGTAGCATTCTTATTAAATGTCCGTCTTGCCTTTCCTCTGAGCCTCGAGCATCTGCCAGAACCTCTTGTCACTCCCCCCTGCATCAATCTCACCAGACTGTGGTGATCTATCTGCTCCTCCGAACTGTACAAGCTCTTTCCCACAAAGCACTGACCACTCTAACCGGGAAGAGGAAAACTGCCTACTCTGCCCTATCCCTAAGCAGAATGTTGGCAGCCCACCTGAACTTTTCTGCAAGCCACCAGTGGGCCGCGGCCCATGGCTTGAAGAACATTGCCTTAAACTGAATACAAAACCACCAGGGCTGACACAAGTTCACTACGTCTGACCACGGTGTGAAACAGGCAGTTACCTGGAGTGTGGTCAGTGTTGTTGTTCAATTGAAGTGATTCAGTTGTATATTTCATTTTATTTAATTGTTACTGCAGTATGCACCAGATGAGATTCAGCCTAATGTGCCTGGCAATAAATTGTAGATCTCTTTTTATTGTCTTTCTCTTCTAGGCCTTTTATGTTTTATTTTGTTGTCAGCCCTTTTTCAATTGAGTACCAGAAGATTTTCTAGGAAGGAAATAAATTGCTGAATAGAACTTGCTACCCCATCTCATTTTGCTGTGGTCGCTAACCACATTCTGAGCCAGAACCTTTCCTAGTGGTCTACCAAAACCATTGAAATTGCTGGAATTGTGAACTTATTATAAAAAAAGTATTTAACGGATAAACATGTGTGGTGTCGTAAAATGTTCAGAAAAGCTTAGTTTCATGGACCCAAGGCTGAGAGGGCACTGAGAAGATAAAGAAAAAAAAATCCAGGTTCTGAAAGTGAGGGTCACTGCAGCAGTTGCAAATAGTCAACTCTGGACACGTTTCAATAGATATGGCATGAAATTGAATGTGGTCAAGACATCACCAGAACTACAAATAGCGCCCATATCGAAGTGTACTAAGGAAAGTCTAAAACATGAAACTTTTCTGAACATTTTAAGACGCCACACGTTTGTATACGTTGAAGTCTTCTTCTATAATAACAGTATTAAATCCTAGCAAACATTCTCACAGACTGTATAAATCAGCTTTTCTTACCTCTGAGCAGCGACAGGCGTCACTTTAGCTAAACATTATAATTGTATAAAATTGGATTTCATGATAAAATTGTTAGCTGCATTTATTTATTTTTGGAGAGCAAGAGAGAGGGAGAGAGAGAGAGTGAGAAGGAGAAGGAGAGAGAGAGAGGGAGAGATAGAGAGAGAGAGAGAGTTAAGAGTTGTACATACATGCATGCTGTGAAAAAAAAAAAAATTAGTTGCTTCACAACTGACTTGCACTAACATTCCAGTAATGTTTTCTAAAGCTTAGATAAAAAATAATGATTTTTGTTTTTTTTGCTGTAAATCTGCATATTAATTAATGACCATCTTCTTCTTCTGCCTTCTAACCCCCCAATGGAGCAAAGACCCTCAATAAACTCATTCTATCCTTTGCTGTAGCTTGATGCAGCTCTCCCTGTGTCCTCCCCATCTTTTAACTTCACTCTCTAGCTCCCTTCTCCATGTTTTTTTTTGGTCTGCCTTTATTGCTTTGCCCCTGTGGGTTCCAGCGCAAAGACATTCTAGTTATATTGATTAATGGCATTACCATGTTGTAAATGTTATTTGTATGACTGTTGAAAGTTCAGTCAAGTTATCCAGATTTCCTCATCTATTCCATGGTGGTTGTTTCAAGCAAACATAGGTTTCTAAACGTGGGGACAAATAAACAAATCACCCTCGCAAGCATAACTTTAGCTGTGCTTATACATGTTCTCAGCAGTGGAAGCACGCATCAAAATGCATTTTCAAAACAATGGTATTTTTATAAGCATTTATTATTTCGAACTCGTCTGCGCTGCCATGTGTGTTCGAGTGTGGTTTCCAATGTATGGAAACCTAGAGTCTATGTGTAAGACCAATAGAATGATGGAAATAATATCAAGACAGACAGACATACAAACACTTGGTGTCACCAACTAAAAAGAGAAGGCCAACCAGAGAGGTGAATGGAGGTGGGTGATATCTGTTGCAAGAAACTTCACAGGCTCAGAATGCTGAAGAAGATGGCAACTTATGCAACACCCTGGCTAGTGATGACACAAATGTCTGCAACAGTGTTTCTCAAATAGGCCGACCCATTTTATTTTCAAAGGTCTGCCATAGTTACCTTACTTTTGAACTCTTGGTATCTAGCAGCTAACCGTAGGTCGTTTCTGTCATGTGATTGTTAATACATAAGGCATTCTCAGGTGATCTCTTTTGCTGCCAGTCTGCTACTCTTTGCCTGCAGTATCCCATTTACATTTCTTTATTCCCCTTTTCTCCAGGTTTCTTTAGGTCGTCCACATCTCTTTTTACAATCTGCCATCCACTGGAGAGCTGTCTTTGCCAATGTAATGTCCACGCCCTCTCATCTTCTTCCTTTGATATTTGCCAGTGATGAACATCTTCCTCCCATTTCATCTGTGATCTTGTTTGGCCAGAACATTTGTAGTATTCTTCTTTATCATTTATTTTGAAAAGTCTGTAGTTTTTGTGTAATTCCTGGTGTCATTTTCCAACACTGACTGTTGTGTAACAGTATTCCTAAAATTTTGCTCTTGTATAAGTAAAAAAAAAAAAAAAAAAAAGTAAAGGGCCCTTTTCCACGCCTTTGGGCATATAGGGCTTGACCTATATTTTTATAGACCAATCGGCACATGAGGGTGATGTGGTCAGCATCACGCCGGCCGCCTTTACTTTCCTGGGACTGCACCCGGTACCCACTCAAGGCTGGGTCAACCTGGAAGCCAAGGTAATTTTTGAAAAAAGTCCGGCTCCGCCAGGGAGCAAACTCACGACCTTCCGATCCACGCCGAGCTTCTAGCCGCTCGGCCACGGCGACTCCCCTGCTCTTGTATAATCTGAGTTTTATCTCCAAACTAAGTTCCTCCGGACTTTGGTCTTTTCCCAGAACTTGAGTTTTGCATGCACATGTTTTAAGATATTTGACTTATTTGTATGCAGACTTGGTTTCTCATTTCTCAGGCAGATGTGCTGCAGCTTTGAAGGAATACATGTGCTTTTCACATTTGTGTTGTTAATCATGTCATTCTGCTTCTTGTGAGCACCAGTTTGTACTTAAAATGTTTTCATCTTATTTTTTTTCTTTGTGGGATGGTTGTAACTCTTTTAGTGCATAAAGATCTGGCATCCAGTGCGAAAGTGGACACAAATTATGAAAACTTAGGCTAAACACAAAGGATGTGGTCACTTGGGTAGCCAGATTTACTTATATTCTCTGACCAAAATTAAAATTTAAGGGAACATTGTTTCCTAATTTGATGGGTATTGTTTGTGATTCTTGCGTGTTAAGATAGAATGCTGCAAACAGCTGTCATTTATATATTTTATTTGTTCAGTGTCCATAGTTCTGTTCAGCACTTTAGACATCTTATCAAAGAAGATTTTACTTTCAATTCAAAGATTTTAATAATCATTGGCCTTCAGTATCACAGTAGTGATTGTGTACATTAAACCAGGTCTGCTATATGGTTGTGAATGTTAAAATGTGTCAGAAATGATTGAAAGTACTCCCTGTGTGTGTTTCGGGAGGGGAAGGGGGAGGAAGGGAGACCCATTGCCCCCTAACAAACATGCTATAAAAGTCAGCTGATTTATTCAGAATGCCTCTGCCTAAGAGACTAGGAACCAAAAGTCTGCATACGAATGAGCCAGATCTGTAAAAATGGATAATGATATATAACTCAAGTTCTGAAACAGTATTAAAGTTTCATGCGGAGGACGACACAGGCGGATGGTTTCTTATCAGCTGTCCGCACTGGTGGCAGAGCACTTATGGTTTATAACCGTGAGCACTCACGCTTGTTCACATCTCCCGACTTTACTATCCCTAACCAGTACTAAAGACAGCTCAAATTTTGATTAGGCCTGTTTAATTTTCTGGCCTTTAAACAATTTTTTA